AAATAGGAGCTGACGAAATTTGTGAAGTCTTGAAATAATTTTTTCTACTCCTTACTCGGTAAGTACTTCATTTTGTTACTGATTTGAGGGAGGAAAACACGTTCTACCCCCCTAGGGAGGTAAGTAAATGTTTACCTCCCTAGGGAGGTAGAACGTGTTTTCCTTCCTCAAATCAGTATCAAAATGAAGTACTTACCGAGTAAGGAGTAGAAAAAACATTTTTTTCAATCTAAGGGAACTGGAGTAGAAAAAATATAATACAAAACTCGGGAGGCAGTGTTCTTGACCAGTCTCGGACTATTTTGCAAGCCCTCGCTATCGCTCGGGCGCAAACAATGTCCTCGACTGGTAAGTATCACTTGCCTCCCTTGTAGTGTAAATAACTATTGGAAATAATGTTTGACTTTCAAAATATTTTCCTGTTCAGCAGTATGACGAAGAGAATGTTTGGCCTTTATGCTAGGAGGCAAATCACGGCCAGTAATATCTTGCTTTACCTCCGGGTTCCGTTTCCCGAACATTTATCACAATCTTTTCTAGTCACACCTTGATTCCCACAAGTAAAACAAAATATACTGCGTTTTTTAAAGCAGTGGCGAAAATGGTGATTTTCCTGTTTGCAATTATAACAGGTCATTGTTTTCCGAGGAATACTATTACTTGCTGTACCGCTAGTACCAGGATCATCTGAAAAACCATTTGCTGAAGAGGCTGATGTCCTAACATTATTATCCTTGAATTTTGAATTCCATGATTTTCTTGGAAATTGCTTATCTTTGACTTCCACACTACAATTATTAAATTCGTAGTCCAAATCACTAGCTATAGAATTGACTTGGGATTTTTCAGAGTTAGATTTACCATGAAGATCCTTATAAACATCTTCCAAAATTTTCACATCATAAATAAGCTCTTCGACAGAATTATATTTATTTAGTGCCAGTTTTTCAACAAATTCTGGTCTAAGACCTTTTTGAACCCACTTAACTTTAGTAAAAACTGCTGGTTTGATATTTAACCGAGAAAAAAGTTGTTCCATTACTGCCACATAAATAACTACCGATTCGTCATGGAATTGCTTACGGTGTTTAATGGTTTCCCAAAGTTCTTCATCGTAATCTTTACTCAGAAAATCTTGTTCAAGTCTTCTTGATAAAGTATCCCAATCAGTAACAATTTTCATAACTTTGACATGACGGAGCCATAGCAATCCTTTACCAGAGAAAAGATCAACTGCAGATTCATACAGCTGTTGTTTGGAAACATGTCTAGCTCCTGCAAGCTCGTATACCCTTTCCAAAAATGACTTAACTCCCATCGACTTATTTGTACCATCAAACTTCAAATCCCACTTATATAATGACACCGGTCTGATGTAACCCAGAAGGAGAAGAGTGAGCCATAGGTGGTAATACTGTAGGAATATCATCCTTTAATCGTTCGCCTAACTCCCCTTCTAGAGCTAAACATGTTGCATAACACTCATTTTTATATGCTAGATGGGTAGGGTCATCACCATTAACAATCCTATTAATTTTGAAGTTGACATGAGTTAACCTAGATTTCAATCTACCATATGAAGGATCACTTTCAGTGCCTTCAAAATCCAAAATTAATTGTCTAATATTGTCTAGGGTAGCATCAATTTGAAGTTTTTCAGTTGCAAAATCATAAGTTGGGTCTACTAGTTGAGAAGCTGAAATGTTACTCTTTTTTTCCCTTTTTATAGTGGCAGATAGAATTTTTCGCTTTTCGTTCATGTCACGATTAGTTATGATTCCTCTGAGCTTAAGTTCATAATTAACCTCTTCAATGAGTAAATGTCGGGGTTTCATTTCAGATTCCATCTCAAAAAAAGTTAAGGTTCAGCTGTAGGTCAGTCCTCAAGATTGAAACCAGCAAGACTCTCCAATCTCCCAAGAGTGATTTAACTTTACTTGAATCCCCAAAAAGAATTTGGAGAAAGTGGCAAACTAACTAAAACTAACTCTTTTTGGTACTTCAAATTCAATTTCTCGAAATATAAAATGTAATTAAACCTGTTTCAAGCTGGTCTACTTAAAGTCCATAAATTTAATAGATTTTACTCTAAAATAACACTCGAATCAGATAAAACTAGGCTTCAGACGAGGGTCCAATTCAATTGAATTGCTGAGTTAACAGTTTGCATTATATGCACAAGAAATTAGGAAAAAAACTGTAACCAGCTAAGGTTACCTATAATGCACCAGGGAAGTCCCTAGGAAGCAAATGCACCATGTAATTCTCCAATTCCGCCACTCAAAATATTAGTACTCGAAAAGAAACACTCAGTACACCAAATGAATGCAATTTACTCCAGTCGCAAAAATTGAACCTCCTTTGGAACTTAAAACCTCTAAACTAAGCAAAACACCAATCCCAAAGCTCTTCCAAGTATAAGATGAGAAGACTATTAAAAATTTTGCTCTCCCTGTAGATGAAAAATTGTTGATGAAAAATCATACCAAATTGTGTATTTCAAATATTTACTACTCGTAACATAAAATTTTGGGCCCCTCACGTTGTGCGCCAATTATCTATAACGCTTTCTTGCTATTTTATGGATGTTGTATAATAAATAGTAAATTGCAGGACTAGTGTGTAGTTATGTTATAGGCACGGCAGCTCTGTTGTTTGGGAGCAGGCTGTGGATTCAAGAAGTTATGTATTTTTAGGGACCTTTTGCCAGGCGCCACTCAGTTTTCAGTAGTAGGAAAACTAAGAAAATTTAATATTGACATAGAATTTGAATATCTAATGAAACACCAAATAACTGTACCAGAGAAATATAATTCTTTAGATGTTTGTAGCAAGTTCATGTGACACACAATTTCAATTATACCTTCAGTAACACCTTACTGTGCAGAAAAATGATTAAATCACTTCCTCAGTGTTGTATAAGTTAAATGCTTAAGCAGAACAAAAAAATTTAGATATCTCAAGATATTCGCCTTCTATATAGGCCTATATTTCCGGTTCACAGAATGACTGGACTCCCATTATGATTTAGTTAAGTGGTATTTCAAATATAAAATTAAAAACTGTTGTTACGAGTAGTAAGACTTGAATAGTGGTTCAACTTGGTGCTGCGCACTACTGGATCATCAGGAACAAAAGTATAATCAATATTGATCTGACCTTAGTGTCTGCGGAGCATGTGGTGCTGGTCTGTCCTTCACTGCCAGTGAACTCCAACTCCAAACTCTAGCCGGTGCAGTTGAAAAAAAAAAGGTTTCCTGGACTTCCTAGTCACCCTTCAACATCTCTAGTCACCTTGTGGCATCATGGATGGCTCAGGATGGGATCGAGAGGAAAGTTCCAAAAATTAACCGGAGGCTACTACTAGCAACAGGCTAGCACGCTATGACGATGGCGTCCCACCAGGACATCCACTATGAAAAGGCCAATAAATCTGTTGGGAATATACCAAATTGAAAACATTGAATAGGTTTATGGACTCTAAAAATGCTCACCTTCCGTCTGGAATGGCCGAAAATAAGGGTATCAAACCCCACAAAGGTTGGATGGAAAATGGCAAAATTTGTGCCCATCTTGCCTACTCTCGGTAGAGAAGAAGGAAATCAAGAAATTTCAAGAGTTTCCTGTGCACTCAGAAAACAAAACCGTTTATAAAAACATGTTTCGAATTAGAAATAATTCACTGCGCAAGTACAGTTGGAATCTTGACTAGTTGATAAATATTACCAACAGAGAATATTGAAATACCTAGATTATTTAAGGAAAATGTCCTAATGGGCCTTTGCCCGTTTTTAAAGAATTGTGAAGTTAGGTCTGAAACAGAACTATAGTAACATTGGTCTAACCAAAAATGTTGCCAGCAGGCCGAAAATAAAAGAAGGTTATAAATTCACAAGGCTATGGACGAAGCGAAATAACCTAACAATTCACATAACCAATTAAACTGTCAGACTGAAACTGAAATATGAATATAAACAATTACAACTACTTCAAATATAACTTCCTGTGGATCCATAATTAAATTGAAAACAGCAAGGACATATTAATTTCCAACAGGTTCGTCAAACTGTGCATTTCAACTTCTATCCATTCAATCAGTCAACAGCAACTAGAAAAGTAAACCGTTTATCATTACAGCTAGGAAGAAGGACAGATCAACACCACTGCTATGAACACCTGAAAAATACAACCCTGAAACTAATAGACAGTCACACCAGGAAGACAAAGGAATCTTCAAGTTCAGCTTACAAGAGGTCCAACGCCAACAGGATATTCAATCCACCTGCCATGACAAAATGTAAAGTGGTGCAGTCACATAATCTATTGAGTATCTTACATCATCATAATATACTGGGTGTTACTCTTGGTTAACTTAATAACAAACCCATATAATAAAGGTAAAAAAGGAAAATCACATGTTACACTTCATAAGACGCTGTAGAGAAAATTTTAATTAATGTTCACTCAAAAATAATATTATTCTCATCGAGTATTTGTCGCATTTTCTTATATTGCGGGTGTTCTGAATCTATATTATGGAGAGATATCTAGAACATGGAAAACAATGAATATCATCGATAATTCGTAACGAAGCCGGAACTGCGAATCCATACAAAAATCAATACAATGATTTCCTACGCCTTGGACGGACAAAGTAAAAAATGCGATACTCTTTTGTAGTAGGAAGAAGGCGTATCAAACTTATGTTTTTTGATAAAACATTCAATCAATTTTTCTGCTTCTTCTATCAATTTACTTCCTCAAGGAGTAGAGTAGCTCTTGCCCTTACCCTATTGGTCCTATGCATGTATTTGCGAATATTTCTGTCGTGCGTTTTGGAATATACAATAAACGTAAAATAGTTCACTTATTTATTCAAATTCGAAATACCCATGACTATTCAACTATATAAAAATATACCGGGTGTTCCACCAGTAAAAATATTATATTTCAAAATGTGCATTAGAGATATGCGTTCGTGATAAAACAATGATACTTACTTGACTTGAATAGGACTCTCTTGACTTGGTACGTTTTCCATGTCATATCACATGGCGTCTGTTTCTTGACCATATTATCAAATTTCTTCTTACTGACAGTCGGTGGCCAATAAACCAGTTTGTTGTTGTTGTTCAACCATAAAAGTGGTACTATACTGCATGGCGCGCTTCTCCCTTCCTTTCCATTGAATTTGACAGCACAATACATTTCTTGGACGAACAAAGAATCATCAAGCTTCAGATCTGTACACAGTACAGTGGAATGAAGTAATATAGGATTGGGAAAAGTATGATAGAATTGTCATGCTTAAGTAAATATATATACAAGAGGGAAAATGGCATATCCATTTTTAAACGGAATGCAAACGCATTTATAATTTACTGTGGACACTGGGACAATTTCAGTCGAGTTTTCGGCCAGACTTTGGCAGAAAAAAATACCCAGTTCTGACGACTTTGAAGGTGAAGTATAAAGATCATATTGATACCTGTATGGAATAACCCTCATTTTGTAAACACCGTTAATGAAGAATATGGAACTAATAGAATATACTTTACTATGAATCATAACACAGTTGTCTGGTTTCCTAGTCGATAGAGTTATAGATTCTAGAATGAGTTTCCTACATTCAAAAAATTGATACTCAGTTCTGTCCCGATAGACCTCATTGAATGTTCCAATAGGGGTCCTTGGTAAAATGGTTTCATGTATCATTATTCTCAGAGATCCTCATCAATCTTCTGTGGATTTGTTGCAGTGGATTTTTTTTTACCTTATTTCATTTTTAATTTGACCCAAAAAGTTTTCGAATGGATAACTCGTGTAATTATTAATACATCCATATATCTCAATATCATTACATATATGCTGTTAATTATGTACATCATAAACTAGAAAATGCTCTTCAAAAATTTCACATGAACGTTTCAAAAATGTTTCAAGAATAACTTTGCAAGAAGGAATCCATTTATGAGGTTCGGGAGTCGAAAAACAAAATATACAGTAATGTAATCTCAAGAAGTTCAAGTAACTATCTTTAGGAAGAATATCATATAATAGTACTACACCGGTATACAAACAAAACTGGCGAAATTCAGTTGCTTTCCAACGATTGAAAGTTTTCAAAGGACGTGGTTTTCGTGCAAATTCCAATGGTATGTGTGTGGCTACTATAGAAATGCGCTCATCAATTAGTGCAAGCATTCCAGCAGATAACTTATGTGGTTTTTTTCCAAAGAATAGTACATTCAAAAGTCTTCTTGTTACCCCTAAGTCAATTAAATGCATTGGATCTAGAGGAAATTGACTTATCGAATTCAAACCTATTTTCAGAAGTTCTGATTTTCCTTTAATGTGAGTATCATCTGAATATATCGTTTTTTCATCAAAATCATAATCAACTTCTTCAGGAATATTGTCAACAAAGTTCACAAAATCGATGAAATTTTGATCTTGTCTTTTTCTGTAAATGTTCGTATCATAAATCATTCTATTATCTGTCCATTTTGCAACTGAAAAACAACGTTCGCATCCAACTTTACTAGTATGCCCAGATACATTCTTTAGAAATGACCTTGCTGGTGCATCACAAATGAAGCAATGTATCTGAAATGGATATACTACATTTTCATAGGAGATACCTACGGCTTTTAAATGGTTCACTTCCTCTATGAATTTTTGTAAGAATAAATCTATGGGATTTGGTTTTCCACGTCCACTGAAAATGGCAATAGGAAATGGTTTTGATGACTCAAAATCTCTACATAATCCTAAAATAGGCCAAAATTCAATGTCACTGCTTTTGAATAACGGCAATCCGTCAATATTCACTTGTAATCGTATTATATTTCCGATTACGTTTCGTATACAAGTATGCCTGGAAGATAACAATTTCAGTAAATTGCATTCTATTCCAAAATACACTATTTCGCCATTACTTAGTTTCATTGCGTCTGTAGTACGAGGGGTAGACAACAATGATCGTGCATCAATGCAAATATTTGCTTCTGAAGGAATGGATGTTTTTAATATTCTCAAGAGATCATTGAGTGCTGTATGGGTTATACTATGGTTAAGTGCCCAAGTTCTGATTCTACTAGACAACGATATTTCAACAACTCCGATATCCGTTGTAACATTATCATTTTCATTAGAAGATGTAACATCACCACCACCAAAATTAGTTGTAACATTATCATCTTCAGAATCAGATCTGACATCACCACCTTCAAAGTTGCCAGTAATTGGACCATTTTCAAACAAAACCTCTAAAGGGATAGTTGGTTCAGGTGGTTGTGAAGTAGGGAGAGGATGGGAAGAGCTATACTTTGATGAACTTGTGCCGGGTTGAATGTTTAGTATTCTGTTAGTTATTTTCTTTACTTTTCGCTGATGCTGTCTCTTGCTTACAAGTTTTTTTGTTTTTGAATTCTGCATTACCTATAACCTATTCATTCTGGAAAGAGAAGTATAGAACAATATTATATGCAAGGATAAGGATGTGGAACAAGGAGAAAATGCTATTTTCAAGGTTATACATACACTGGAGACCAAAAGAAAACATGAGAAGAAATGAAAAAACCTCGATCATTTCTGGCGTGACAGGCCCTTAATTATTCTGAATTCACAATTTTTATGAGGAATATCATAACCTCAATGATTTTCATTCATTTGCTGGAAATAGCCAGTCCACAGCATTTTAGTCAACAAAATTGCAACCTAAAATCAATGCTAACATACACACGGTGATCCATTTCGGAAAAATGGCCTCTGTATTATGCTGCACTTCAAATCAACTTGGGAATATGCACCATAAAAAATACCGGTGTGAATGCAGCAAAACGATCTGCGCCACCAAGACGAAAGTTCACGTCGTAAAGCAGGCCAGGGAGTAATAATTTGATTATTAAACATGTAATATCTAGCTACAGACGTTTTCATCAAAAAAGACACATAGCAGTTGAGAAAGGAAATATAGTTATGTCACCGATCCATTTCAACTTCAACTCACAATTTTCACCGTATAAATCAAAAAATGGTTTGGAAAAAAATCATTAATTTGTAATTTCCATTAGGAAAAACATCTTGATATCGATTTTCTTCGAATTGTATTCTTGCTATTTCTTGATTTTGTGACATCCATTTCACTCCAATTTCATCCCAATAATAATTGAAAATCGTAAATCTGTCATTTTCAAAAAAATCTTGCTATATGTTTTTTTCTCAAAAAGTATATAATATATCACGAAGACATTTTTCTAATGGAAAAGACAGATTACCAATTCATTTGTTGACAGGAAAAAATCATACTTATTTTCTCTGACGAAAATGACATATTTCGGATTTTTGTCCAGATTTTTGGGGTAGAAACGGGGTAAAATGGATACGGCAGAATCAGGAGACAGCATGATTATAATTTCTATTATACCTTGTGTATTTTTTGTCGGAAAAATAACATAGGTAGCTCAATTTTTTTTTATTTATGTGGTGATAATGAGGTGAAATTGAGGTGACAAGATCAGGAGACAGCATGAATACAATTATTGGTATACCTTATGTATATTTTGACAGGAAAAATCCGTAGCAATATGTTTTTTCTGATTGTAATGACAGTTTACTGATTTTTTTCCAATAAATTTTTCGATTTTTATAGTGAAAATTGGGTGAAATGGACAGATGACATAATGACTATTTGGTTCAACTACTAAGTGTTTGTTTGATGAAATTTTGATGAAAATACCTGTAGCCAGATATTGCATTTCTGAAAATATATGCAAATTATTTTTTTCTGGCCTGCTTTACGCGACCCTTCGTCTTGCTAGCACATCATACCGTCCTGCTGTCAAAACAGACATTTTTTCTTCTTATAGGAGATTTCCAGACTTATAAGAATATTGAATTCTCAGATGATTTAGTCCAATAACATACTCTTTCGATATGAAAGCGATATAGAAAGGAGTTATCACAATATATGTGAAAAGATCGACTAATTGGAAATTCATTTACTACCTAGGGTAAATGCACTAGTTCTCGTTAATTCGTGTGAAATCTTATTATATTGCATTGGATTCAGTGTACACAGATTTCTTGATAACTTGAGAGTAATTTGTGAATATTTTTCAAGCGTATTTTTGCAATTAACTTCCGACATCCTGATAAAAGTTAAACAACTACAATTTGACTGGTTCTTGACCATCAACTGCAGAGTTCTCCATCTTTTTCATGTTGGTTTTCTACCACTATCTATCAGTTTGATTCACAAGAATATGGGATGATATTATAACGCAAAAATGATTTGTATACTCAGGCTGACTCCTAAAAACTAAAGAACTAAAAAATACTTATTTTCAAACATAGGAACCTAATGGTCATTGCTCCAGTCAGTTTCCGATTCCAAAAAGAGCTATGAATAATAAAATTCAACTTGAATCGAATTTTCGAATTTGTGCAGCTGCAATAGGTACTTCATGGTAAAAAATGACGCATATTTGAATGTAAAAATTATTTTATACTCTGACATAAGAGAGATAATCATATATGATATGGTCGAGAACCAAAATTTAGTTCAAACTGGTTCTCGACCACAATGGTCGAGAACTGGCATATATAATGGTCAATTTGGTTTTCGACCATCATAAAATGAATTGCAGAAGAACTTCTATTTAGGCCTTATTTGATGGTCGCAAACTAACTGTAGATGCAAGTAGATATGTAAATGAATCAGTATGTAGAAAAAAAAAACGAACATTTTTCAGAGAAAGTATATAACTAGACATAAACAATTATTCAAGATATATGTTTGGCTCTCGAATACTATACAGAGGTGTGCACAAAAAACGGCTAGAGCTGTAACTTCTGAATCATTCGAGATCGAAATTTGAAATTTGGTGGGTAGCAACTATACCATATTGTTCATTCATTGACGGGAAAAAAATTATTCCATCTCTCCCGGTCTAACCGGAAGTGATTTTCAAAAGGAACCCCCTGTATAATTTTCCATTTTCAGATTCAGGGTATCATTTCACATACACCAGTAGTTTTTCCGGATCAAAATGTCAAGAGGAATTTTTTTAATTCGTTTCTATCTTTAAACATTGCCCATTAATTCTAGGTAGCCTTGTAAGTCAATTTCAATATGACAGTAACATCCAATAATAAGTTTCAATACGGGTGATGATATTTTCTATTTTATAAACATGAATAATAATGAGTTAACCGATATGTTACAAGTTTATTTTGAATGTTTCAAAAATTCGTCCGATGCTGCTGGTGTTTATAGAAACAGATATCCGAATAGAAATCATCCTAGCCATCAGAAATTTGGCAGATTGGAAGATAATCTACGTCAATTTGGTAGTTTCAAAAAACCGGAGAAACAACAGCGAGAGTTTGATGCAGATTTGGAATTGAATGTTTTACTCAGTGTACAAGAAACGCCCAGGACATGTACAACAATTAAGATTGCAAATGATTTTGGTACGTCACGAAGAACAGTTCTTTCTATTTTGAAAAAACATAAGTACACGTCATACGTTCACCGCGAAATTCACGCCTTGGAGCACGATAATAACAGAGAACGTAGGACACATTTCTGCAATATTTTTTTGAATAGGTAACTTCCAAACAAGATTTAGCTTGAATGTATGGTGCGGAATTCTTCATGATATGTTGGTAGGCCCGTTTTCCATCGACGGTTCTTTAGACCAGTTTAAGTATTTTGAATTTTTTTTCTGGACCAACTTCCCCTCGCCAATCGTTATGAAGTCATTTACCAACGAGATGGGTCACCGCCACACAATACGCGTTTGAATGTGACTTATTAGAATTCACACTTTGGAGAAAGGTGGATAGAAACAAATTGACTGATACGGTGGCCAGCTCGCAGTCCAGATTTGACAGTCATGGATTTCTTCTTTTGGGGTTACTTGAAGGATCAAGTTTATCTATTCCAGCCAGAGAATATAGAAATCCTTAGGCATCGAATATTAGAGGCTTGCCGCAATATACCCCAAGCATTTTTCACAACGCAACTTTTAGTGTAGCTAGAAGGTGTCAGCAATGCATTGCACAAGATGGGGTCAATTTGAGCATTTGTTGTGATTAATTTTTTATCGCCCCTCTTTCAATGCTACTGAAAATAATAAAGATTGATGTGGAGTTCATTTTGTTGTTCTTTCTGTTTCACACAAAATGATCCGGAAAACTACTGGTGTATGTAAAATGATACCCTGAATCTAAAAATGGAAAAATATTCAGGGGGTTCCATTTGAAAATCAAAAGTTGGGGTCACTTCCAGATAGACCGGAAGTGATGAGATATTTTTTTTTCGTCAATAAATGAACAATATGGTATTGTTGCTACCCACCAAAATTCAAATTTATATCTCGAATGATTCAGAAGTTACAGCTCTAGCCGTTTTTTGTGCACGCCTCTGTACATATGGTCGAGAAACGAAAAAGCCAATTTTTGTAAAACTGGTTGCGACCACCGGATATTTAACAAAAAAACAATATTTATGTTTGTTTCTTCTTGAAATACAGAAAAAACTATATCTACCGAGATATTTTAATATTCCCAGAATATTTTCACAATATGATACAAATATTCTAGGGATATTCTAGGGATGTTCTATGGACATTCGGAGTGTTTTGAATATCCTGTGTTTATATATTCCTAGTATATTGAAGAAGAACGAAGAACATTAAAAAAAGCTTGCCCCGGTGGAGACGCGAACCAGCTATCTTGTGATTAAATTTTTATGAACCTGAAACCTTATCCACTTCGCCACGAAGCTGATTATAATGAAAATAATAATAATAATGAAAATAATAATAATAATAATAATAATAATTGATTAATAAATAAAATAAAAAGCAAGATGATAATAACACTGAATTAGTAAGATAATCAGCATTGAGGCTAGAGAATAATAGGGTGTGTCAGAGTAAACATTATAAATATTGAAACAAAAATAGGAATATCAATATCATAATATATTTCGATACGATTCTGAATATTCAAAAACAATATTCTCAGAATATTCAAAAAGAATATTTTCAGATTGTCAAATTGGATGTTCATAGAATATTCGAAATTTGATCAACAACATCTCAAATGTAATCAACAAGTCTCAAACGCAGTCCGTCTCAAAAATGTAATCAAATTTTCTCGATATCGTCTCGAAAGTAATCAAATCGTCTCAAATGTACTCAATCAAATCATCTCAATTGTAATGAAGAAACCCTCAAAAACACATCAAATGTGATCA